GGCCGGCTGGGCATTGCGTCAACAAAAGAGGTGGCTGTAGCAATTGCGCAATCCTCATGGCCGGCAACATCAGCCCCAATTGCATCAACAAAAGAGGTGGCTAGAGCAACCGGCAACATCAGCCTATGTCCTTCTGGACAGCACATCTCCCAAACCCCAGATCAAAACCAAACCCCAGATCAAAGGAAAATTCTTTCAAAACAACCAATGTTGAGAAAGCCCAGGCAACCAAACAGCTTGGCAGCAAGGCCTGGCGAGAGATGCTTTGTTTGAGTTGCTTCGTCCATGAGATCCGTGACCTTAGTGATCAACCGGTCGCGTGGCCAAAAACAAACGGGATGCCCATGGTGGCCCAACATCATGTACCAGCCCCAGAAAGTCAGACTGGCTCTGCATAGTTTGATGTTTCTCCGGTTGGAACGGCGATCCAAGTTCTGTGGCCAGAGAAGTCATGAACTGTTGGGCTGAACCTTTCATGCTTCCCAGGTCCTGAACTGTCAAGTCATCAAAATACATGCTAGCCAGACAATAACCCATGCGACGACATACGGCCTGAAAGAAGCGAGGGAACCGGTTGAACGAGCACACAGCATTGGGCAGCCCAAAAAGTGACCCATAGTAGCGACGAAAGCGAGGCTCCCCTACTTGGTGGTCGTAGTAGGCGACGATGGCGGGGTCTGAATGCTCCGGGACCATAGGCACGTGCCGGTACGCATTGGGGAGATCTTCACCTCCTGAGCAGATGCCCTCTGCAAGTAAGGTGGCTGCATTCTGCAAAGGGCTGACTGCCCGCCACAAGAGCTGCGCATGAAGGCCCGGTTGGATGCTGGTGCACAATTCCAACTTGTTCGAGTCGTGGCTCAGCTCACTTTGCCCGCCGTCCGCGGCGTCATCAATGACCCTCAGCTTTCCGCTGGGTTGCTGAATGCAGAACCGTCGAATGAGGCGGAAGTGACGTACTTGACGACAAAGTTGCACCCAGGACATGGCTGGCCCACAAAACCCTAGAGCTTCGTCGTCCAACCCAGCCTGAACAATAGCTTCGTCGTGCTGACATGACTTCAAATTGCGAAGAAGGCGCTTGGCGTCCGACCAAGCCCCTTGTACAACATCTGACGAGGTGAGGTATTTTGCTGGTTGGGCCTGGTGGTTGGAATTGACGCATCCACTGCCACGTGCGCCGGGCCAGCTCGTGAATCCAACGTGTCATGCGCTGCCAAACAAGTCGTAGGGAGACACCTAACTGCCAATATCGGTCCGCGGCAAAGAGGAGGTCGTCATCAACAACACCCATTGATTCGAAAAGCGTAGGCTGGGTCTTGAGGTCCAGTGCGAGCTCAAAATGACGCTCATCGCCAACCCCGAATGGAATCAGTGGCGGCGTGGCTTTTGCCGCAGCCGCGGCACCCGCCTGTTGAAAGGCGTGTAGAGAGACGGCTGCACGCTCAATGGGTCCCACCAAGGACGGGCCAACCGCTTGGCCATGCCAATCCTCCCGGGTCTGCATGGTAGCCAACCACCCAAAGTGGGAGTCGTCGATCAACAGGTCCTCAATCATGGGCCACTGGAAACCAGACCAATGTATATGAGGACACAAGGCCATCAGAGCACCTATCACCGTCTCCTGTGAAAATCTGATGGGAACAGCCCGGACTGGACGAAGGCCTGCTGCCAGCAAGGCCACTTTGCGCACACCCTGCTGGCGGCGCCGCCGCGGAAGTGTAGATCGTGAGGTCGTTGTAGTCCAGATGAGTGCACAAATAATATCTCCATGACACAACTGGTTGTGAGGACAGTCGCAGAGCAGCGTACATCCATGCAGTGAGGGCAGGGCATCAACCAAGTGCTCCTGGTCATGGATCCATCTGGCATACTGGTCATCCAACTCCTGGTCGATCTCAATGTCAATAGGCGTAACCACTTCCCATTGGCACCAAAGGAAGGCCTTAGCAAGCGGTGCATTCAACCCGCTGAACACATCAAGAAAGACTGGCTTTCGCGCTGTATCACTCACTGGATCAACAAGGGAGAGCTCTTCCATGAACTGTTGGTAGTCAGCATGCTGGTATTCAACTCCCATATCTCACTGCAAAGGGCCCGTACTATAGGTATGCAAGGGGGAACAGACCCGGGCCTGACCGGCCGTGCCCCCAACAATGAGTGAAGTTCCGGCTCAGGCTGGGCGAATTCCACAAAAATGTCTTGAATCTCATCCCGCCACTCAATCCAGCTACTGCGGAGACCCTGCATAGCACCAATCTGGACCATGACCACCCCCAGACAGGGGGAATCAGTAAGGGACAGGGACTCCAGGGCTAGACGAGCCTGCTGTCCCAAATCCCGTAACTCAACTGCCTTGCCCCGCCGCGCTTCCGTCCAAGGGCGCCATGGCAACAGCCGCCCACTGGATAGCCTGGGGTCGGTCCATGAGCAACGATCGAACTTGATATGAACTAAGCTGCAACTGTGAACAACTGTAAACACAAAATCGGCGCTCATCCGGTCTCACATGTCCCCAGGAGAAGACAGTGCGCCTTTTGACACAAATTCAATATTAGTAGCCAGTGCACGTCGGTCCGGACCGGGAAGCACAGCCTGGCAGGACTTGCAAATCTGGCGATCGTACCCCAACGCCTCGTGCACCGATGTAGCACGGTGGGTATCGCCACGAAATCCCGGAGACGCCTGTCTCCAACGGCACCACGGGGCGCCTTTGCGCTCTACATGCCGTAAGGCCCCTGCCTTTGCTGAAAAGATAAAAACGACAGGGTACCTTGGTAGCTGGGGCAGGTTTCCTGCGCAGCTCGAACGCGCCCAACTAAACAGCGCTTCGCCGCCACGCCGTCTCAGAACACCTTGGCGATCTACAGCCTTCATGCCTTCCAATCTGTCGTACTCGTGGTCGAAGTTGGTTCGCCTGAGCCATGCAAGGAGGATGGCCATGAGGATTGGCGCTCTGTGCACGCCGGCCTGACAGTGGACCAAAACGTTGAACCCAGCAGCCAGGTTGTGCCCAACGTTCACGAGCAGCGATATCGAACATCGCGTCGGAGACCTCGTTGAGCGGCCCCGCCGGCGGCGGAGGTCGAGCCTTTGCAGCAGGCGGCTGCGGCTTTTTCTTGACGGCCACAACCGGAGTCCCCGGGCCCCTGGCAGGAGCAGGTGGAGCCACCGTGGCCGGACTGGCCGGTACAGGCAGTACCACAGGAGCAGGAGACACCTGCTCTGGCGCAGCCGGCGCTGCCGTCTTCTGTGGGAGGCGTCTCCTCTGCAGGGGAGGCTCGGCCTGCTTAGGCGCCAGTCGTGGCGACACCGTAGGCTTTGGCATCGATGGAGAGGATGAAGGTCCCGGCACCAAGGTAGAGGCCGCCCGCTTACGCAAAGCCCGAATGATCTTCGTCCCAGCTGTACGAATAACGGTCAGGGAGGCGGGCAACAAAGATTTGACCATAGGCCTGCCAGGGATGTCTTCCGACGATAGTCGAACCACCCGGGGGTTCCCTCCCGGACCGCAATTCGGCGGCAGCCACCATGGCCTCAGCCCTCCGCTCCACAGCGGGGGTAATTTTGATCTCTTCCCACAAAACCTCGGGCGCGCTGGCCAGAAACAACGATGCCGCAAGCCGAAGTTGATGGCCCTGTTTTTGTTTCTGTGCATCATATCGTAATGGAGTCTGTGCTGTAGAAGTACCACTAGCAGCATCCGTCCATCGGCCGACAGCCAGGCGCTCGGTATCTGTGAGCCGCACAATACCAGCCAACGTGGGCACCACACATCTGAAGCTGTAGAAACTAAAATGCTGCCCAGCCAAAACACCGCATCCAGATGGCATAGAGGTCAAGACTGCCCAATGTGCGTGGGAGTGACCAGGCGAATCCGTCACGAGTGCCGATCTTTCCTTGAAACACCAGAAAGTCATGATGACCGCGTTCGCACCAGTAGCTCCTTTGGACATGACAAAAACAAATAAGCCCGAACACCATAGCAGCGGCAGCCATCAAAATAGACCAGTGAGCATGCTCGACTGTAAACTCCAAAACTCCCAACAAATGTGTCACCATGCCAGGCTCCAGAGGTGCCGCCTGTGACTGCCCCTGTCCCAACCGAGTGCTCCGGACAGGGGCAGGCTTTGAAGATTCACTCAAAGCCAGTGGGACACAAAAATTACGAATCATCCAGCCCAAAAAGGTAAATACACGTGTAGAGCCACGGTCGTGGCGGGCAAACGGTGGCGGCATCAGCGTCACCATGATGCCCAACAAATCTCGAATGAGCAAAGAGGCGATCCCCCCTTTGTCGCCGGACGGGCGTGCTGACTGCTTCTTGGGCTTGACAGGCCCTGCAAATGATGACGGCCTAGAGCGGGCCACCGAAGAGGAAGGCAAAGAGGTACTGTAGCCACACCAGAAGAAGGCGAGCAAGATCCCACCCATCCGCTACTGCACGACCTGCTTCATGAAGGGCCTGGTCGTAGGAGGTGAACCAAAATGCCAAATCGCTGGCGCTCTCGATGCCCACCCGAGCACACCATGTATTCAGCCTTTCCTGCTCAACCGCGCGTCGAGCATTTGCAGCAGCCATGGCTCGCACCAACAAAAATCTTAAGAATCAGCAACACTGATTCTTGTGGAGCGACACTCCTTTTTGGCTTGAGCCTCAAGCTAAAAAGGAGTGAGTGAACTGAATGACATCAAATAATTCCTCATCACCAACCCTGCCTACCTTGAATGAATGAATACAGTACCTTTTACATCCGGTGTCAATCACATGCACAACTGCTCGTTTCCATCAACGCATGAGATCTCTCCCAGCGCAAGTCGACCAAATCTACACTCGGCCCTCAGGAAAGAGAGGGTGTATGCATCCATGCGCACGCACTTCCTCTCAAGCAAAACTGCACCAGCACCTATCACCTCACCAACACCTGTCGACCGACCCGCCCACGACGCACACCACCGAAATGGCACGCTGCTTCTTCTTCTTTCGCCCTCCGATGCGCCTTCCGTTGCCGCTTGAAGGTTTTGGCGTCACCTTTGTTGTTGCGCCAGCCGAAGGCGACCAACTCTTGAAAGATCAAGCGGATGGCCTGCACGAGTGCATCAAGGGCTTGGGCACTGGGAAAAATCACCCTGGTTAACAGGGGGGCAAGCAAAATAGGTTGGGTTTACCATCTGAGCATACATCCTGAGAACCTCATGTTCTCGGGTCCTTGATACCATTAAAAAAAAACGAGTGGGGGGAGTACTAAGCAGTGAATGGTGCGGGGGTGATGGTCCGAAATCGTGGATCTCTATATGAGAAAGGTGCGAATTTCTCTTTGTCTGGTAGAAGTAGTTGATCTGGAAACTGACATGGGAGAAGGAACCGGACCAATCCTCAGCAACTGTATTGCGAGTTGGTCTAGTTTCTGCACTGAGCCTTTTGGAGGCAGGACAAAGCCAGCTTTGTGGATTTCGCAGCAGCTTGCAAGGGTTTGAGCCCAAGGGAAGTTCGCAGACGTCAGGAGTCCCTTCATTGAACATGTTCCACCCAACTTGATGCAACTGGCACAACTGCTCTTCAAACATTCTGGGGGGGCAAAAAACAACTCCTGGAAGAACTTCCGGAACGATCACAACGCCGCTGGTCACAAGCTTTTTGCCTGTCATTGCTACTGCCACCATGCGTTCCAGGCCATATGAAACCACCAACTCTCCGCAGCAGTGCGCGGTCGCCGTGGAAGTGCCTCTTGGGGACCTCCATGCTCGTGGCCACCCTTGTCCTGGATGAGCCTGGAGCGAATGGATGAAAAATGGATCCAATGGATCTCCGTTAGGGAATCACTTACTCAATCAATCCACCCATTTGCTCACCTGAGTTGATGAGGTTGGATTCAGATGGTGTCAACTGTCAACTGCTTCTCCAGTCGGTCTTAAGCTCATGGACTCTTAGACTGCTTTCTGTTTGTTCAAGCCCCAAAGCCGTCCATCTTCCACTGAACCACAAGCAAATGTTTGAGAAACTCAGGACACACGTCTGAAATCCTCTTCAACCAGCCAGGCCCAGGCTGCGGCTAATGTCTCTTCGAACCTTTCTGCAATAGCAAATTATCGATAGATCGAATAAATTTAGATCAAATAATAAACTAAATAATATACGTAATATAATGATATTGGTGCTCCACCGATCGTCTCTCTGCCTTCGTCCCAGATCGTCGTAGTAATCCTTGCAGCCCCACTGCACCGCCAAGGCGAGCTGTTGCCTGGCAAAGACATGTAGAAGCTTCTTGGTGGCTTAGGAGTCGTGGTGTTCCACATGTCAATTTCCACTTGTAGGATCGCCTTCCAAGCTGTCTGCCATTCTCCGAACGACTCACAAACTCATGATATTCGACTCATCGAAAGAGGCCCAATTGAGGATACCTACGAAGACCCAGCATACTCAGCACACTCTTGGCCCAAACAGCTCCACTCGGAGCAGAGGAGGGCAAATGAGGAGTTGTTCCAGCAACATGTTTTCGGATGGAGTCTCTGCCGCCAACCAGCTGGTCAGGGCTACTCTGGCCCACCACACTCTGCTGTCAAACATGTTTTGGTCAGAGAAGTGCCACTTGCAGTATTCACGTATTCACAACGTCCAACGCAAAACAGTGCATGTTCTGCAACTCACGCGCATTTCTATCCAGGAGCACAAACAGAGGGACACAAGAAACCTGAGCAACCTGACAAAGCAACTAGATAATTAATCCCGAGTGCCTATTAACAACCACTCCCCAATTAAAGCACAACGTCCGAACCCCTAAGTTCGGTATATATTTGGTTTTAAACTACCGCCCTTTCAAGCCGCTACTAAACTACCAACATGGTCGATTTTGGGGGTGGTTTTTTTGATTAGGTTCCCCAAAACTCCAACATGACACGCCGCGCTTACACCAGCAGGCTTTCCTTCCCCCAATGGCACGGACTCACGCAAACGCACTTGCCACCGAGGTCATGCAACACCGCATGGCACAGCGACATCACCTTTCGAAAGCTTTAGCTGTTAGTCTACTGAAGAATCACTATTCTAATGAAGGTTTTTGTAGGGGAAAAGGAAGACCCTTCGATCTGGAGGTTTCTTGCATTATTGATACGAGTTTAATACAGGTTTTTATATAAAGTTTTACTGGATTACTTTTTGGTTTTGAAACTCTTTCCAGGTGACCCTATTTTGGACCCCCCGATTTCAGGGACCCCCTATTAGAAAAAATGCGACCGAGTTTTTTTAAATATTGGGGGGGGGCGTGTTTATTAATAGGTGGACCGGATTAAGCACACACACACACTGGCAGCCGGCACAACACATCACCAAAAAAACCGACCAAACAGCTGGTGTGACCAAACTCCGGTGTGGTTTGAGACAGGCGAGGTTAAAGAGCGGCTGTTGCCCAGGACCGCCCGGAGGATCACATCCTGGCGTCGTCTTCGAGCGCGGGGTCCCGACCGGTGGACCGGTGCGTGTGTACCGTGGGTTCGTTTGGCACAACCACAAACACCCCACCATTCGAGCCTGAAAATGCTTGAACACTACGGGTGGTGTCTTCTGAAAAATACGACGTATTACGGCTTGATCTTCAAAATCAAGTCTTCCATGGGCCTAGTGATCTTTGAGCGTAAAAAAAGAAAAACAATGAGCGTGAAAAAACCGAAAACATCCTCAAGCTTGTTGTGACATGTTGTGACCCAACGTTTAAAGAACTCATATCATTCAAGAAGGCTGCGCAAGACTCGTGAAAGTACAGTTCTTGTTGGGGTACTAATATTACGTGCGCCCCAGGGCAAATGAATGCATCACGATATATCATGATCATCCCGGAAAAAACAAGCATCCATAGCGCCATAAACTACAGTATATATATATATAGCCCAATGACTGACAGGAGCCCCTAGTAGCGTCCTTGTTCCTAGTAGTAAGGCCAGGAGCCCCTAGAAGCGTCCTTGTTCCTAGTAGTAAGGCCAGGAGCCCCTAGGAGCGTCCTTGTTCCTAGTAGTAAGGCCAGGAGCCCCTAGTAGCGTCCTTGCTCCTAGTAGTAAGGCCAGGAGCCCCTAGTAGCGTCCTTGCTCCTAGTAGTAAGGCCAGGAGCCCCTAGTAGCGTCCTTGCTCCTGGCAGCTTGGTTCCAAAGATTCCCTGAAAAACTCTCTCCTCGAGGCGATCATTGATGGAATATATCTCCACCTTGCCACTACTGACCTGTCTCACAGCGTGGCTCTGCGAGGCTCTGCGCTCGAAGAACATCACCAAAGCATCGCAGGGGGTTGCCCTACATCCCGGCAATTCTGATGGAACGCTTCTGTGTGTGTTCATCTTTCGCATCTCGAGATTCTTCAAGTTGGGCAGTTGATGGGTTTGGGTCGAAGGAACCCCAAATAGCTTTATTGGTACAGCAAAGGAAGTCATTAGACAGCAAAACCTCACGATCAATGACACATCATTCATCTGTGCCTGAGCTTTGAACATCTCATCACACCATAAGAACTTTCTGAAATCCCACCCCATGTGAAGTCTCACTCATCAGACATGGCCTGTTAAGTATTTGGCCGTCACTGCTGACACTTCCTGCAAACATTTAAGGCGAGGTAGTCTCAGAGCCGGACGATCTCACGAGCATTTGCCACATCTTCTTGGGTCAGGGGCTCGTTTCCCATGAACTCCTGCAAAAACAAGGGCAAACAGAAAAAGAAAAAAACATCAGAAAAAGGCTGTACATGTGAGAAACCACCGCGTAAAGCAACCCGTTTTGAAAGATGCCTTCTCGATCCCCGGGGAACACGAAACGACTCGACACGAAACGACTCAAAGACTTCGCGTCGCGCCTTCACGGCGGACTGGAGCAACAGGGCGAATTCCTCATCTTCGCCCACCGAAGGAGTGGAGGACTCCGAATCCGAGTCCTCGGTTCAGGTTCCGGAGGACTCCGCTGAACACGAGCCGAGCGTCGTCCTGAAACTGCGGATCCGGTCGTTCGCGGGCTCAAAGGAATTGGAAAGCCACGACTCACGACCGTGTGGGCTGCGGTTTTTCAGGCGCTGACTTGAGACTAATTACATGGCACGGAGGGTTCTGAACCCTTACGGCTAAACATGACGGAAAAGCTCTCAGCTGCAGAATCAAAAGAGCAAACTCTTGCATAAAACTTGTACAAAGCTCTTTAAAACAAGCTCCAAGGCCAATCCAGTGCGACTTCCAGCTTTTTCATCAACCGATACTACCAGATCAGATTCTGTTAGATTAAATGAGACTAATTTGTTGAGGGATGTTGAGAGTAGAAAAGCCCTGGTCTAGGACTCATCATGACAAGCCGGCATGAAACCCCACAGGTGTCTGATTTCTAGAGGCTCGGGTCCTGTTGGACGATTCAATTGAGTTGAGGGTCTTGGCATGCTCGAAACACCTACTCACGGCTGATTCCTGAGTTTCCCAACTGGTCTGTTCTTGGTCACGTCCAGGATGCTGCAAATTACGTCAGCAATCCGTCCAGTGCCTTTTCATCGCAACGAAGGACATGTCAAAAGTGAGCAGGTGATGCTGGTGCAACAGATGTGGCGAACTGGGCCATGGAGCATTTACATTATTGCACTCTGACTCACTAACATGGAAGTCGAGTTCACCCCCTGTTCATAAAGGAAAGTAACGTAGTCTTCCAAGGGACCATGCCATCCACTTCCATGTTAGATCATGTTAGTGTGTTCGAGTGTAGTCCCAGCATGAGAAAAAAGGGGGCCCGGGCATGCCGATTTACGATGGTTTTCGGAGTATATCGCGACTGGGCGCTCCAGCGGCGCCTGAACTGACCTGTATCCCGGGTATAGCCCATAGGAAGGCAATGTGAATTTGACAAGAACAGCGCTATTGGACATGAATGCTGCTACGTTTTGCAGGACCAGTGTTAAACAAAATAAACAAAGGACGAGGCGAAAATCAACAGGGACATACCTTATTCTCAAAAGCTGGGCGGGGCAATTGTGGAAGGCCAGTTCCTGACAGTGTGGACCACAACCCTGGTAAATCAGGGATCTGGATTGGGTCGTTGTGGAACGGTGCGATCAAGACTCAAGACATGCTCCAAAATGTCTCGGAAAAAAAAAACGTGGAATGTAGGGCGGCAAGAAATACCAAAGGTATGGTGTGGTCCAAATCCCGGTCGACTAGGACTCTTGGCACCAGTTTTCTTGTAGCTTGATATCAGCTTCTGCTGGGCATAGTCATAGCAGTCTAGATGTCTAAAAATCGTGAGGAACGCTAGGGATTGTTTGCACAAAGAGCGAACCTTGGCCGGTAAAATCTGGGGTGGTCTTGGGAATGACTCTGTGTCTTTACCATGTGGTGGGCGCACAGGCAGGAAGAACTGAGTACAAAGCATAAATGCAAGGTGTTTTAGGAGGGTTGGTCTGCAGCGGAGCGGGCAATCAACGTGTGTCATGAACTCCCAAACAGCTTGACTGACTTGTAGTCCCCAGAGACAGGTTTTAAAGGCAAAATGATGTGGTTCTTGTAAGGGTAGAAAAGCACCGCGGGGGCACATAAACATAAATATAGATAATTAAGTATGCGGTTCTGTCGCAAGCGTTGTGAACTCCACATTTTTCACAGCGCCACCTTATCGGCAACGTTGATACAGTATGACATAGGTCAGCTTTGGAGATTGCTTTGTCCAGCCTACGATGAAATTTCATTTTATAGATCCTAAGAACATCTAAGAACGCTTCGGATCCCCTCGCTTGGCAACGTCTTTCAATTAGGTCCAAAGTGGATGTTATTTGGATATATTTCAATATTTAAGCGTAGGCGTGTTGTGAATCGGTCAACTGTTTGGATGTTTCACGCCATGATAAAGTTCACTGGTATGTCACAGTGAGAGATGCAAACATCAATGTTCATGCTCTGTTTTGAAATATGAACCATATGTTTTGTGTTTGTCACAGTGTGAACTGCACAGATGAATTTTCATGTTTTGATATGTGACCATATGAGATGCATGTTCTAATCTCAAGGCATGAGAATTGACATATGCGGTTCGTACTGCGGGATAGATGTGCGTGAAGACAAATTGTTCATATTTCCAACCATGAAATGCAGAAAGCGCTCTTTTCAGATCATGAGCACCAATATCTGCATATCACAGTGTGACACGTATATGAAGTGCACTTCATAGGTTGTCAAATACATGACAAATATTGTTACACTCTGAGAAAGCTCAGATGTATGTCAAAGTAAAAGATGCACAACGTAAGTTCTCATGAGATTAGCAGCATGTATTTCATAGTATCTCATATTCTCGCATCAGTAGCTTTGCATTTCACAAAAATATGAGCCACTTATACGTACTTGCGAGGGGAGGGACAAAAGCCAGCCCTCGTAGACCCTTTGATAAAAATTCATGTCAAAATGGTCGAAGATGCATCTGCCGCGCCCGGCTTTGGGCAATGTCCTTTTTGCAAGAACCGGGCACCAACCCTGAGCAAACATAGACTTTCAACGTATTTTCTTTATAGCTGCTTGGGGGGGGCCCGGCTAGATCCCAGAAGATAGTGCTCCTTTGCTGGTGCCCTTGTTTCTTCCCCAATACTGTGACAAAGCGATTGAAAAGGGCACCGCCGCACATGGCCTTGTCGTTGAGTCTGTTGCTCACGGTGCGTTTCGGCCCACTGTCTCTTGGACCGCTGAGATGGTGTTCTACGCACTGACTGCTGCCTGTACAAAACATGCCTGCTTGTCTCTACAATGGAGCAGCACAAAACAAGGTAACAGCCCGTGCGTCCATGTTTGCCGTGAAATAGCCATACACACAATTAGACAGCCTGCTGTCCACTTAAACGGTATGCTGGAAACTTTGTGTTGCTGATGATGCACTATTGAACCTTTTGTTCGCTCTCCCTCACCAGGCTCTGGGTTCTACATGAGCCATTTATCCCACACTATGAGAAAGGTCAAAGGTATGTTACAGTATCATTATGCACAAATCAGATCTCATGATGTGAGAAGTGCAACCTGCATTTCATTGTTGGACCGGTAAAAGAAATCAACAGTACATGACGCATGTTCAGACGGCTCATACGTATGTCACAACATGATATGCAGTAAAACAGTGTCCATTATCTGACATGTGAATCTGTGCATTTCAATGCATTTCATGGATTGAACTTTACACAATATAACTCACACTCTGAGATAGCTAACTTGTTTGTTACAGAATGGTGTGCACAAATCAGTTCTCATGATCTGACGTCAGATATGCACAAATCTTTGCTCATCTCATCGATTGAAATAGAGAGTATATCTCACACTGTGAGATGCGAGGATTATATTGGTGTGGCAAAGCCAAACATGTACAAATGAATGTGGCCTGATATCAGACTAGCCAGGATTAATGTGGGTTGATTAATCAAGAATCTGGAGGAATTCACAAAAAAACGGAAAAAAATGTTTCCAGACAAGTCTCCTGATCCAAGTAGTGCCCAAATCAGTGTTCTTTTTTGGTTTCTGTTTCTTTGGTGGTCCAGCGGGTGAAGAGGCCTATTGAAAGCGGTGGTTTCATCGCTATTGATAAGAACAAGCAAATAACCGCATATAACACTAGTGAACACAACTCACACGCTCACAACAGGCCTTTGAAATGATGGATACAATATTTGCAGTAGTAGCACAGAAACACTGTATAGATTCCTCAGTTCTCATTGTGCTCCAGCCTTGACATACCACGAGCGGACATCCTGTTCGTATAGCCTGCGCCAGAAATGCCACGTGAGGATGTCACGGACATTTCATGGGTCTCGAGAGTCATGGGCAGCCCGGGATGCCTGTTGGGTCTTCATTCTGAGAGACCGCTCATCATATCCCACAAGTCTTGTCAACAGTCCAATGCTGGCGACATTGGTGACCAGTTACGCACTGGACCAGCACTGCAGCACTGGTGGGGTTGGATGACTCCAGGGCGCCTGCACCAGTGAATCTAGGGAGATCTTGCCACCGTTCACGAGGATCATCACCTGATGCTAATTTGGATGGTGTGTCATGCTCTTCCAGAGTACCACTTACCCGCACACTTTCCTGGGGAATTCTTTGGGATATGAGTCAACAACAACACCAACCAGTTTTTGCCACAGGTCCAATTGCCACTGCGAAAGGAAACCACGTCGGCTATCTCAAGTCGAGTCAAGTCCCTCGTGCCAGCAAACTCACTGGGAAACATCGAGCCGACAAAAGGAGCACAAAGAAATGAACATGTCAAGGCCTGTCAAGGTTCATATTAATGCATCGTTTTGGTCAATACACAACAACAGCAGATACAGTAGCATCGGCATCATACTCAATTCATCATCAATAACCTGCAGGCAAAAAACACAAAAAGCTGCAATGAATCACTGTATTCAAGACTCATCCAAAGTATGACTATATGACATACTATGACTCCAAAATGAAAGACCACCATCGTCGTGTTGCCCCATCATGTTCATTCTATACATATCATATACATATACCCTGGGAGTCAAAGTCTATACAAAGAATGGTCTTTAGGTGACACAAAAAGGAATTTCCTTGACTTCAGTAGGTCAAAATATAGTCTTTGGACTTCTAGGGTATATAGTTATATAATTGTATAGATCATTAACCCTCTCTCTGTATATATATATATATGTACTGTATATCATCTTGTCCTCACAAGAAATCCTCAAAACATCTCAAAACCCTCAAGCCTTTCATCCCCACTTTCGCTGAGCATCCCGGCGCGTGGCACTGGCGCTTTCGTCGACCCCGGCATGGAGCCCTTGACATCGAAAGCTCAAAAAAGGGCCACAACAAGTTCCAAAGAAGCCATGTGATGCCATGTGTCAAACAAATGCCCAGAACCATCTGGAAGCTAAACCAAGCAAACAATGCCAGAGGCACTTGGTTGGTTTTGGCTTTGTCTTCAAATGCCCAGAAGCCAAACCAACACAAGACCCGTCAAAACCGTCAGTTTTCCAAAGGCACCTTGGCAACATAGTCCTCGAAGCGAGTTCCTTGCTTAACGCAAGGCTGCGTAAGGGGCGCGATGGCTGCAAAATCGGCTGCGAACCCGACAGAACTCCTAGATCGACTTGATTTGCATATGTAAGTTGCAGCGCAAGGCATGGTAATTATAGAGAACCCAACTATATATATATATACTGTATAACTTTAAGAAACTTATCATGTGCAATGTGCATATATTAACAAATGTGTTGAAGAAACTCCGCAGAACATCTTCGCCACCAGACATCCTCTCAAAGGGAAAATCGCCAAAAACAACACACACAATCTGCGCCAAGCTGCGGAAGGGGATCTCCGAGCCAAAGGTCTTGCTCCCCACCTATCCAAGATCAAGGCAGATTCTGCACCAAACAGGGCTTTGTTGGGGACGTCTGGTTGGTTGGGACTCGAAGTGGGGGTCTTGTCTGGTGAGTACAGGCAGAACCTTCCTGATTCTGGGTCATCATCTCGGAGCATGAGAGAGCCTTTGCTGCAGTGAACTCCAGCCTCACCGTTGTCACAAATGATGAAGTGCGAATGGTTATCCTGTCGGCGGCAAACTCGATGCGTTCGGCCGGCAGCCCTCGATGGTCAAAGTGCAAAATTGAGCACCACCTTGGAACAAGAAAATATCAAAGTCTGGCTAGTAGATGTGGGAGTTGTGAGGGCTGTGCATCAACAAACATCATTGACAAAAAAGAAAAAACATGCTCGCTTCTCTTGATCAGGACACAGCTTGGGTAAGCTCTTGTGACACTAATAAAGCCGGTTCATAGACCACCGGCCATAAAATACTATTGATTGCATGTGCATCCCATTGGGCAAAACAAGGGCAAAACGTCCAACTCACAAGAGCGTCATGGTGCGGTGTTCATTCCGGTGATCCCATGGAAAGCTATGCTCTGTGGAGGCCATCGCTACCAGTAGCAAGAAGCTACTAGTCTCCCACAGGTCGCACGGCCATCGCACGGAACGGTTCCCGGCCGGTTGACCCGGGGGGAAGCCATCACCGATTCGTCACCATAAGCGTCCCCACAGGTGGCTTGCTATTCCGTGGATGGTAAGCCGGTTCAAGTGTGGAATCTGTGTTTTGGTATAGCAAAAGAAACAGATCCCATGTGATTTGTGACCAATAAGTCCTGGACCATTCGTTGCTTTTCCAACGTCAACCCCAGAATCTATCCATTCAGCTGACCAGCTGAGGAATCTTCATCCTGCTGCCCCAGGCCGCATCTCCATCTGGACGTCCCACTCACCCGATGGCCCCCATAGACGTCACCTTTGGAGGCTCGATTCGGCTCGATCAACTGCCGTCCTGGAGCGCGGCCAAGGTGATCTTGCCTTCCTTCTCAGGCGACTGGCTTTGCGCTTCCGCTGCGTCGACCTCGCTGCCACAACGTTCAGTGGTTGGAATGGGAGGACCCCCACCATGACCTACCGAACCAAACAAGCAGAAGCAAGCGGACAAAAAGAAAACTAGCCAATGGGTCTTTAGTTGATAAATGTTGATGTGTCATCTTCCAACTGAGGTTGTCCACACAGGTCTCCCAACTGTTCTGGCAAAAGGATGCAAAAGGTATTCTCAATATTTATCTATTAAAGAACACTGGAGATGTTACATGATATTGTTATGATCCTTTAGAAGGTGAGGTCCTAAAACAAACCATACAAGGCTGCAAATGTTGTAGGACATCATATACAGTATATAAGTATATATTTAATTGGTGCAGCACAACTGTGGGGACAAAATTTTATCGTTTCAGCATGTTTCAGCCACACTTTCTCTGTCATCTCACTTTCATCAGCTGAGCTGATCCCCAAGACCACAATGGGGATATTCTGAACCGCAGAAACCGACGGGAACCACACCAGCCACGCACGTCGCGCAGAACCGCACGGAGCCTTCATCTGCTTGATGGGTGTGTCCTGCCCGCTTGCAGCACGATTCGACATAGCTTCAGACGGTCTTCATAGCTGTGGTGACCTTATGGCCTTATGGCCACGATAAAGCCGCTCAGTTCATCCGAACAAGCTCCAAAGACCTCCATGTCTGGCCTCCGTTTGCTTCTCCAGGAGACCCCGCCATTTGCTGGTCAAAGCACCTAAGTGACAAGAGACCTGTCTCAGGCATGGTAGGGTGAACTAACACATCTTGCCAGGTATAAAGAGGCAGAAACATCAACAAACGCATCAAATGCCCGTGGCGGCAGTTGCAGAAAGAATCTCCGTCTCCGCCGCCGTCGTCTCGGAAGAATCCCTGGGCCACCGGACCAAAAGGGCTGATGCCGATGCAGGGCACCTGTGACAGGGCGAACGAACGAATGAAAGGGCGATTGAGTTCATCCCACTTTTTGATGTTCTGATTGGTTTCAGTGATTCTCTATGGTCCACAACATAATTAATCAATGACCGGTGTCTAAATCCAACTTAGAAAGGGTGACTATCAGAAGATTCGTTGCTTCCTTTCTCTTCTCCTCAAGTGACCTGTCCCAAATGCCTCGTGTTGCGTATTGTCAGGACTCAGCCATCCCCTTCCAAACATAAAAATGGACACTGAAACGTTGCCATCTCTGCGTTTGCCGGCGAACCACAGTGCTTTTTTGCATCGCTCTGTTGCACCTGTCGTTGCTTGTCGTGCTTCTGCATCGCCTGGCCGAATCTCGGAGGGCAAAGATGGTAACATTAAAAGTGTTCTGGGAAAAAATAGATATGTAGTAAGCTGTTAAAGTTACTAATAGGCCTCCCAACCTAGAAGCGATGCAGAACAAGAACAGTCAGAAAGGAGTTGTCGATGCCCAAAAGACTCCAAAAGCACCTAGTAGGCAAACAACCCCAAGAAGACAAACAAAAGGTTTAGAATAAAATAAAAGTAAACAAGTAACGATTTGGAAAATATGTCGAAAGGGGTGAATTGTGGGAAGGGACTTCAGTAAAGGACCTTAAGTCAAACAAACACCGATGTCATTTCAGTGTTCCAGCCAGGCTATCCCAGGCATACATTTGGAATGCATAAACAGTCTCTGGCCAAAATGTTGCGTCTGTGTCCCATGTTGTCCCCACGAAAAGCGACGGAAAACAAAGAGACGGGAGAGCTTCAACAATAACACGGGTGGGTCCCCCAAAACTCCCCTGCACAAATACCTCGCCACTTCCCTCTGTTATGGCTCCACTTGGGAGCTCCAATACAGAAATATACCATAATATACCAACATATTACTCCTGAATATGTTGCACAAAGAAAAGTTGGGCATGGTATGGCATGGTCCTGTTTCGGAAGTGCCTGGAAACGAGAAATCATTGAAACAGATCTGATCTGATCCTGTGGGAGTTGCTGGCGCCAAGTGAGGCTTAAACGTTTTGGTGATCCCTTCGGCGGTTACAGCTGCGTGGCTTTGAGTTGGATAGACCGCCATGTCATCGTCCTTTCAATAAGGCCTGATGGGTCAGAGACACTGGCCATTCTCTATGCGATATTCTATAGGTATGTACCTAGTCATGTCAATCTGGTGGGCTTTGTGCGCCCTGTGTGTGAGTTTTTCTTGCACTCCCGACCCCCACACCAGGGCCCCTCTCCTTGCCAACAATGTCCATGACCCCACTGGCAGTGCCACCCGTAATGACCCAGGCGCAGGTTCTGGTGGCGGCCTAGCGATGCATGCATCCAAGACACCAAAGGGAAGCCACGTCCATCCACGACAAACGAAGGCGATGTTGTGTGTGCGTCCACACGTCTGTTCACTTCATGTTCCGACAAAGAAGGCGATGTTCGCTTCTTCGATTGCCGCATTTGCACTGAGCTTCTCAGTGTTTCGCCTCCACCAAGCCCTTCGAGAAGCAGACGATGTCGAACTTCTCGGAAGGCTTCATGTTCCCAGCACCTCCGAAGCAAAGTGGTTTCATAATCCCAGCACCTCTCATGAGACTCTCATTCATACAAACACTGCTGCGAAAACACTGCTGCGAGGGTTCTCCCCTTGTCAAATGGATCGGATCTTTGAGTGCTTAGCAGAAGACTCTGTCGCCGGCTAAGCAAAGAACAGGAAGGTTGATGAGCACGTTAACCATAAAAGTCCAAGGCGCTCCGCTCATCCCGAAGCATAAGCCAATTTAAAAACATGTACCAGAGAATACTCAAACATACTATTTATTGTCCCAAACATTCCACAACAGCAACGCTCTTCCTGAAAAAAACTAGGAACATCTAGGAACCAAAGTGTTCCATGAATATTCAAGCCGCTCCACCAAACCATATTTTCCTCTTCGTGTTC